AGAGAAGACCGCAATCAGGAACACCGACAAGGTTCTCCCAAACATGAAACGTAACCTCTGCTCCTCCACGAAGACCGCGAAGAAACCTCCGCAATTATGTTTCGGAAGATGCCACATCAAAACCCAAATCGATCCATGCAATGTTGGCCCCGTTTCCCCATGCCCCCTGGCCCTCCCCCAGTCCACACACCTCACACCAGCCACTTCCTGGGACGACCCTGCACATGAACTCAAGTGGAACGCGCCCTTATTTGGTCCCCCGCAACCCACTGGCGCCTTCTCTTGGGAGGAAGACTCGCCACACTGAGCCAACATGGGAAACGTGCATTTGGCCTGGTTTGCCAGCCCCACCGCTTTCGCGCAACTCTACATGAAGCCAAACGGAATCGTGTCCCAAAGCAAGATTCCCCCCTACATCTTTTGTTTTCCTTTGGAGAGCTTCTGTATGCAGGCAGATGTACAAAGCGATACAACTGTGCAGGCCTACGTGCAATGCCGCCGCCAGATGTAAGCACCCCGAGCTAAAAAAAAATGTCGCGGACTGTTCACCAGAGAGAGAGAGAGAGAGAGAGAGAGAGATAGAGAGAGAGAGAGAGACTGAGGGGGGGAAAGAGAGAGAGAGAGAGAGAGAGCGAGATGCAAGCAACACTCTACGGCAGTTGCAATTTCCTCGCAATATTCACAAGTACGAGAGACCGATTGTACATACACAATTGGCATGGAAGGGACCCCTGCAGTGAAACGTGCAGGGGCAAGTGCACTGGACCACGCATTGCAAGCACGTGCCGTCCAGACAAAAAGAACTACCCGACAGCAGCGATATGACTTGTGTGTCAGTCTTGACTCCTTACAATGTGGACCTTGACCTCTGATTGCTAGTCTCGACTTCCTTGCAGCAGCCATGAAGTAAGCACCCACCATACGGTACAAACCATAGGGAGCAAACCATCGGGTACCTGCGTGGCGACTCGGACATCGCACGCAACCACAAAAGCAAGCGAGATCCGGGGCCGTCTGGGCGGCGACCAATATACACCAATCATCTGGCACCAACCGTCTGACACCAAGGCCACGACCTATAGTGAGCAATCAACTGCATGGCTTCATGGCAACAGCAACAAACTCACAATAACTCAAGCCAACGGGACCCGGGACCCTGTGAACGGCGACTTGGAAATTTCAACTATTAGAACAAGCACGATCTGGGGAGCAACAGATCACCATACACTACCTATAACCCCATTCCTTCGGGTGATAATGAGACTGCGGGAGATGTATGCAACTTTCGGGTTACGGTTGGCGTCGGGTGGCTTTCGCGATCGATCAGTCGGTCGATCTGTATATACCTATCGATCGACCCGCACTATCTTTCGACCGCGCTACAAGGATATTATCGATATTTGTATCACCCGACCACACAGTCTCTTTCCATTTACCGACGTTGCTCTCCATACACCAGTCGCACGATCTACCATCTCTGTAGACACAGGACAACACTAGGAAAATCACGTGAGCGACTAACCACACGTCAACGACGTAGAGAACGCGTTGCACAGACGCCTGCCTGGGAAACATCCCGCGGTACGGATCGAGGGGTACCTCCCCCCCCCTGGACAGTCGGTGAGCCAAGAAAAATCGAGGGCGACTCCCCTCCCGTTAACTCTTGTAACCACCCCTTCAAGGAAGGGAGAGGTTCGAACCTCCCCCAACGCCCCTGGGTTCCAGGGGGGATGGGGGCAGAAGAGGTTCGACCCCCCACCCACCCCCGTGCTCGCCGCTGGCATGCAGCGCATACGATGACGACGCTATACGACGACGCGGACGACGGCGACAACGTCAGCGGCGGCGCACATGGCGCCGTCGCCCGCGCCCAGCGCTGGCGACTGAGGAGAAAGTCGACCCTCCCCCCCACTCGTCGCCGTCAAACCATCATTTATCGGAATCCTACCAGTGCTCGACCCAGCTCTCATAATATCTGGCCAGGGCTGGATCCAGCTCCTGCTGGAACCTACTGGGGTTTGATCAAGCTCTAGAGCAATCCCACGAGGGCTCTATCCAGCCCAAATCGAACCATACTCAAGCTGTTTCCATCTCTAACGAAATCCTATCAGAGCTCGTTACAGCTCGAGTGGTGTCCTACTAAGGCTCGGGCCAGCTCAGATGCAGTACTCCTCGATCCAACTCCAGTGGGATCCTACTGGAGCTCGATGCAGCTCTAATGGGATCCCACGAGAGACTGGCCCAGCTCAAAACCCACCAACGCTTTGGGGCATGAGCGGCCTAGAGAATGACCTATTGCATCTTACCTCTTCCGCTTCGGGGAGGAGGGCACCTCTCCCTCACGCTCCTTTCCCCGGGTTTGGAGGGGGCGTTCCGCGACGCGCGCGTTGGAGCCTCCCAGATGGCCTCGGTTTGGCCACGTGTTGGCCGCCTGAAGGCGGGGGCGCGATTCGATCGATCTCCTCCAACAAGCTCTAAAGATAGCCCCAAGGGCGCCCCGAGACGGTCCCAACGGGCCCCCAAGAGGCCTCCAAGATGCCCCCAAGAGGTTCCCAAGAGATCCCCACAAGGCCCCAAGAAGGGCCCCACAGGCACCCAAGATGCCCCACGGGGCCTCAGCGTGAAGGCACATGCTCACTATTTCTATTAAGGTTTTGGCCACAGTTTCGCTTCCATGGGGGGGGGAAGGTTTGGGCAAGTGGATCCTCCCCTTTCTTTGATCGATTTCCTTCAAGACGGCGCCAAGACGGCCCACGAAACTCCCGAGGGTGCCCCGACACGGCCCCAGGAGGTGCCCAGGACGCCCCAGGAAACCCATGCAGATCCAAATGGGGGTGGCGTCGACGGGGGGGGGGGGGGGGGGCGAACAGTGAGAGCGCTGTCGGGTGCGAGATGATCCCTATGTTCCTCGGAGGGTGCCCACTGCGCGCGAATGTTACACCGTCGCGGTGCCCATGTTGCAGATTGGTGATTGGGCGGGTTTCGTGCCGGCCGGCTTCGTGCTCGGGCGAAGCGACCGGGTTTGGGGCGCGCGCTCACAGGCGTTCAGGGGCGGCTGTCTGGCGGGGCCCTGCTCCTCGCGCGAATGGACGCGCCACGAATGTCGCGCATCCGAATGATCCTCAAAACCGTAAGAACGGTTTTTTGAAGGCAGATCTGCCTTCAAAAAACCGTTCTTGCAGATATCGTAACCCCCCCTTTCCCATCCCCCCCTTTCGTCCGGCCCGAGGCTCTGCTCCGAGGGGTCGCGCAACCGGCCTGAATCTTGAAAGCCGTCGCCTTCTTCAGTCACTACTGGGGGGCGCGGGGCCACGTCGCGCCTCGGCCCGGGAGCTCTGACTCCCGCGCCAAATGCCGCCATGCTCTGGACGACGCGTCCTCTGGGCAGGGCCGCGTTGGAATCCTCGTCGCCAGAATGGCATGCGTTGCAATGAAAAAGATGCCGCGGGGAAGCATGGCTCGACCCCGCTGCTCGTTTAGACATCGCCTCCGCTCTCATGTTCTTGGAGCTCGCGATTGGCGCGGGAAGGGGGCTTGCTAGCGGGCCCATTTCAACAAGTACAAGCCCCTCGCACGCCCCTCCTCGCCCCGTTGCCCCCCCCCAGCGCCCATGCCAGGACAGGCAAGGGTCACCGCTGCACCGCGCGTTTAAAACGCATCACACCTTACTGCATGCGTTGTCGTCGTCGTCGTCGTCGTCGTCGTCCAGGGGGAGGGGGGAGGCAGGAGGAGCGAGGAGGAAGGGGGATGAGGGGGGAAGGGGGGGGGAGGAGGGAAGGGGAGGGAGGATGAGGGACGAGGAGGAAGGAGGGGGAGGGAGGAGGAGGGGAGAGGAGGAGGAAAGATAAGTGAGGACGGCGTTCGGGTGCCACTGCGCGGCCGCGGCCCAGGAGGGGCCCAAAAGGGTGAACTCGTAGGGGGCCCATGAGCCCTCCCCCGCAAGATGGCCCCAACGACCCCGAATCAGCCCCGAGAAGGTCACCAAAAAGCCCCCAGGAGGGCCTCCCAAGCCCCCAGGAGTCTTGACAACAACTGAACTGAGGTCATCCCCGAGACGTCTAAGAGACTCAAAAAAAAACGCAACAGACGCTGAGGAATATTAGGGGGCCACAAGCGAACCCTACCCCTACCAACTACGATTTCTGAGGGGGAAGGTGGAGTTCACTTCGTTTGGGAGCTCCCGAACGGAAAGAACCCCACCCTCCCCCTCAGGAAACGTGGGGGGTACGGGTAGGGTTCGCATGTGCCCCCCAAAAGATGATGGCCGAACCAATAACAACTACACGCAAGAAGGACGACGGGAAACAACAAACCACACACACACACACACCGAACCGGAAAACACACACGTTTCCTCTTCTGCGGGTCGGCGGCATGGCGCCAGCGTCTTGAATGACAAGTGGGCTAAATTTGGCGCGCACTACAAAAAAACAGGGCTTAACCTAAACGGTATTTGTCGTATTCGTTTTGTTATCGTTTTCCCTCGTTTCGGCTTCAATCCACCTCTACCGCAAAACGAAATCGAACCGAAAAAGGCCCACGAAATCGCCAAGACACCATTTAGGTCCAGCCCTGCAGAGAAAACAGCACATATTAAGCACGGCCTCGGCACGCAGCGTCACAACAATATCCTGGCAGAGGGCGGCCAACTTTGCCTCGCTGAACCGCATGCCGTACGACACCGTCGCAGTGATCGCGCTTCTTATCTTCGCGAGAGGCCTGCACGCACAGCGAGAGCCTCGTTCGTGCTCTCTGGGCACGCAGGTCCAGGCTTGGAATTCGCCCGAGCAAATGGTGTCGGAGGATCCAGCCGCATCGCCAAAGCATCGCCGATGCATTGTCGACGTCGACGCGGTGCCAATCGGGCTCCACATCAGGCCGCATCGCCGACGCATCGTCGATATCTGGCGCGATCCACCGACCCCATCCGCTTCGACTCCGCTCGGGCAGCCTGGAATCACTGTCGTCAGTGTACGTCCTCGTCCTCGTCCTCCTCCAGCTCACAGGCTCTCTTCGCGCCGTCGTAGGCCCTGTAGCTCGGCCGGTCCGGGGGGCGTGGAGTTGGGCAGGGCGCCGGGGGCCTCTGGGGGGACACAAAAGCATCGATACCGCTGCTCCCCAGACCTCTCCCCTCCAGTGGACGCCCGCGGTCGAACCGATCGGGCTGCTCGAGGGAGGAGGAGGAGGAGGAGGAGGAGGAGGAGGAGGAGGGAGAAGGAGGAGGAGGAGGAAGGAGAAGGAGGAGGAGGAGGATGAGGAGGAGGCGCTCGCCTACGCCTTCCTGGGGCGCGTTCTGACCAGGGATTTGAGCCGAACCCTGCCGTGGCGAAGAGGGACGGGCAGCGGCCCTACTCACATCGATCCTCTGTGACAGCTCCTGCTCCTGCGGGGGGCACACGCTCCAAAGGGGCACCGGTTCCTTTCCCTCGGGGCCTCGGGGGCGACTCCGACTCCGACCGAGGGAAGCACAGGTGCGGCCAGTGGCGGGCGACCGAGCCGGGCTCCATGGCCAGGGCCGCGGCCGCCGCCCCGTCTGCGCGCGCCGTGTTCAGGGCCTGGAACTCGGCGCGCTGGTCCGCGAGCAGCCGCTGCTTGCGCCGCCTTGCCGTCTTGCTCGGCGTGGCCCTCTCCTGGGAGGGCGCCACAGCTGCACACCCACACCGGATGGGGCTTTTCGTACGGGGGGTAATGAGCCTCGCGACGGAGCATGCCCATCCCCCCATACCTCCTCCTCTTGCCCCTCCTCCTCCTCCTCCTCCGCATCCTCCTCCTCCTCCTCCTCCTCCTCCTCCTCCTCCTTCTCCCCCTCCTTTTCCTCGCCGCCGCACGTGGGCCGCAAGTCCTGAAACCTGACTGCCCGAACCATTGCTGAACTCGCCCTGGGCGGGAGTGGAGACGCAGCAGAACAACACGAGCGCAGAGCGATACAAAACCAATGCCCGGCAACGGGAATGTCGAAGGATGCGCGGGACGGGGCGAGGACTCCGAAACGAGAGAGGGGGGGGGGGCGAAAATCGAGTGGATAACCAACTACATCAGTTGGAAGCAAAACACATGGAATGCCAGAGCGGATCTGAACATTCAGGGTAACTAAATCTGTGCGGTGTCTCTTTCTGGCATGTGTTATCTTTCGCCCATACAGCGACGAGAGCTTGAATAATGGCAAACCGCCAGGAGGGAGAGAGGGCGGAGATCACTTCCCCGCATTTGCCCCAGTCGATGCTATCGATACCCAACAAAACCTCAGGGCACTTGTTGCGAAGACGGGCCGGGAAAGAGGAGACGATGGTGCCGGGGAAGAGGTGAGATATGAGGTTTGATACAGGAAGCGTTTATGGTGCAGAACTTTGTAAGGAAAAGGAAGACTAGGAACGACATAGTCGAGCAGAGCTCGCACAGCAATCCGGCCTGGGACCCGAAGGTGAGACATCCAACACAAAAGTGGAGTCCACTTGCTGCAAGTTCCAGGCTAAGGGTTTGGAAGTTCCCAAACTCCGACACCACCTGCGACTACCCCCTTGGTCAGAATGTGCCGCAAGGATCGCCAGCATTAGGAACTCGTCCCCAGCTGTGCGCAATACTTTCTCGCATGCTGATGAGAGTGTATCTGGTGGCTCGGATAAGGGTAGCTAGATTGAGGTCTGAAAGGCTAGAATTTCGAGGATCCCCCCAGGCCTTAGGGCAGTGCCAAATCCGAAGAATTCGGCCAGCCTCCAAACGGGGCATTCAAATGGCGGGCGAGCTGCCCGAGCTCGATGTTCATCAACTGCGTCGGGAGCCACAATATTTGTGAGACACAAAAAGACGGCGTCTGCCCGGCGTCGACGAAGACCGGCAATGACTTCGGCGGCCACTCCGCTAGTGGCAATGAACGATCACCGACCCTGATGATTATACCTTACTGGGCGCCCAAACGAACGCCCCAGGAAGACCCCGAGGAGCTAACGTTGCCCAGATCGCCCCATATCCTCACAATTCCTGGGGTGTTGAATGGCGATGCATCTGAGCGTGCTCTGGGGTCGCACTTCCAATCCAAAGAAGCCATGTGTGACTTCGATAACTTGCAGGCGAAATGCGCAAGCTGCTTCGGCTTGCGATCGACTGTGGCGAAAATTTGTTCCCAACCATCCTGTGGTGTTGGGTCCTCGTTTTGAAAGGACAGCACCCCGCGTTCCCTGCTTCGGTCCTCCTCCCGCTCCTCCCTCCTACCGTCGCCCTCCTAACAATGGCACACCACTCAAATGTTTCGTGGCCCCGTAGGGAGCTCCACCGGAAGTCCCAGCGCTACCGCCCACATGCTTCCCCAACCCCGTGCAGCGCTTAGTGGCCCCATCGGGAGCTTTACCGACGAACACAGTGCTACCGCCCGCATGCGCCTCCCCCACCCAGTCCAGCGCTTCGCGGCCCCATACGGAGCTCCACCGACGGCCCAAGTGCTACCGCCCGCATGCGTCCCCCCAACCCAATACAGCGTTCCCATTGGGTGCCCCGCCGGAGGTCCCAGCGTTACCGCCCGCATGTGTCCCCCCCACTCAATACAGCGCGTCGGGGCCCCATAGGAAACTCAACCGGTGGCGCCAGTGGCCCCGTCCTCATGCGCTCTCCCAACCCACTACAGCTTTTAGTGGCCCTAAGCCGAACTTCGCCGAAGGCCTCACTGCGTCTCCCCCAACCATTCCAACGCTTCGTGGCCCCATAGGGACATCCACCGAAAGCTCAGCTGGCAGAGTCCACATGCGTTCCCCGCACGCAATACAGCGCTTCGTGGCCCCAGAAAAGAACTCCACCATCGGCCCTGGGGGCAAAGTCCACATGCGTGTCCCTCACCAACTACAGCGTTTCGTGGGCCATAAGGAGCTCCAAAGAAAACCCCAGTGGAACCGTCCGCATGCGTCTCTCCCACCCAGTACAACGTTGCGCTGCCCCACAGGGAGCTCCACCGAGGCCCCAGTGGCAAATTCCGCCCCCACCCCGCACAGCATGTCGTGGCCTATGGGAAGCTCCACCGACGGCCGCAGTGGCAAAGTCCGCTTGCGCCCCCCCGCCCCCCACCCTGCACAGTGTTTCGTGGTCCATGAGGAACTCCAGAACACCACCGTAGACGATGCCCACAAATGCGGGACCCGCAACTGCGCATGGTTGGGTCCTTCGCTATTTGTTGGGGGTGCGTGCACTTCGATATTTGAACGTTTTCGGGCCAACATTTGCGCCCCGCCGTGTAAACGCCACTGCGGACCGTGGCAGCTTGACGCGCGGAAGCTGCGATGCACTTTCGGCGGCTTCTGGGCCGCCATGAGCGCGACATCGCGCTGGGCCGGGCGAAGGTTCTCACTGGTCCCACTAAGAAGTTCAGACGATGCCCCTGAAACCAACGATGCGCTCAACCGCGCCCACACTTTACTCCGCCGCCGCGAACGCGCCCAGCTTCGCGCCTTGCGCGCGCGCGGGGGGCGCCAAACAACGAGCTGCCCTTGAACTTGATCGTGCTGCGTCTGTCCGTCAACTCCTCCTGCAGGCCCCGATTGGTTTCCTGGCGGCTGGCCCGCGTCCGCGGCGCCAATCGCGTTGAGGGCCGTCTGCAGCTTGCAACGGGCCGCGAAGACGGCAACAATAATCTCGCGGTTACAGGTCGACTCCAGAGAGATCCTCGGAAGACGGTCGGCGCAGTGCTCGGTCCCACCTCGACGATGCCCAACTCGCGACGCAGCTTCTTGACCTCATATGAGAGATCAACTAACAGTGGTATAACCCTACTCTGCGCGTACTCGGCATGAGCCATTCGCTTCTTCACCTGTTCGGACATGAGGCTGTCCCCCCCGCGACCCCATCGTACATTCTGAATTTGAGCGTTGCAGTGGGCCAGGCGCAAGCTCGGCGCCAGCTTCGGCAATGGTGGAACCATCGGCCCGACGCCTGGAAAGGCTGACCGCTGGAGAAGGGGCGAACAGGTCATCTGCGCTGGCCTCGGGGGACGCGCCTGCGAACGTCGAAGACAACCAGATCGTCCATAATCCCAAAGTAACCCAGCAGGAGGCAACATCCATAAGCGCAGCACAGACGTCTGCGGCCGCGACCGCGCCCGAGCGGCAGCGGAAAAGCCTGCCGGCGGCACTGGAACTGGCAAGGGTCGATCGCGGGACGTGATGAAATTTAAACCAGAGCCCCGCGGTTAGATTTTCAACCCAGATTGCGACGGACCTTCGCATGTTCCCCCTCCTCTGTCTCAATTTTCCCAAGCGGCAAATGTCGATGACAATGGCCGGCGGCAAAAATAATGGCCAGCGAGGGCAGCGCTCTCGAGGGGCGACGACGCCGCGACGACCCGCGAGGCGAATCGAACAAACACGCGATCAATACAGGGCCTGCCCCCGCTAGATCCGCGCGGCGCTGCCCCCCAGCAGCTCGAGTGCCAGGTCGAATCGAGCGGCCGACTCCGACGGGCCCCGACGCTCCGCCGCCCAAGGACTCGCGGGCCCCCTGCCCGACGACGCGGGCGGGGACGACCCCCCACTCACCCCGCCAGCGGAGAGCGAGGGAAGGCGCCCGACGAGAGCCCGAGGACATGGAGGTCAACAGGACAGGCAGGACGGGGTCTCCTGAGGGTGCACCAACTGCACTGAAGGGCCCACGATGGGCAGAGCCCCTGACTCGCCCTGTTCCGCTGCCGACGACGGGCGACCGTCGAGGAGGGGCGAAGGCAGATTTGGCCCGCGCTCTCGATGCCTCCCAAGCTGGTTCTCCGCGCAGGAAGCGCAAAACAGAGCTGCGCCACCTCCGCAAAGAGGGGTGTAATCGGGGCCGTCGGCCCTGGCCTCCAGGAGACAAGCGCACAGAGCTCCTCGGGGCCCCCAGGTGCAGCATAACGACGGACGCCCCCAGCGACCGACGGGGGGCGCAGCTGCGGCCCAAGACCCTTGGGGCCGAAACGGGTGCCAGGGAGCTCTTCAGCATCGCGGGCCCAAGACCCTTGGGGCCGAAACGGGTGCCAGGGAGCTCTTCAGCATCGCGGATCTCCATGCCGGCCATGAGGGATGGCTTCCTGCCGGCCAGCCCGCGTGCCAGCTCGACTGGCGAATGAGCTGAAAACCTTCTAAATCCTGACTGCCTGCGCCGTTGGCGGCGGGCGGCGCTGGGCTCCGAGCGCGGCGCGGCGATCGACGAGCTGCTTCGAGCGAAAACAGGGCCCTGCGAGCTGGCGCGCGGCCTTGCACTCGATGTGAGATGTCGCGCCAAATGCTCGGGCGCAGCCTCCCGCCGACGCCGCGTGGACTGCGTGGTCTTCTCCATCTTGGGCCGACTGCGCAGGCGGAATCCCGAGGGGGGCTGCGCCGCGGCAACCCGCAGCGAGCTTGCCGGCGCCATCAACTCGGGCCAGCCCCCAAACCGCCCTCGAAAGGAGGGGCGCAGAGGGGTTGGAAGCATACCCATCTGAAAAGATGTCGCCAGAGAGTCGGCCGCTGTCAGGGCGATTGATCCAGCGAGCGCCAGCTTGGGATTGGAGCAGGGGGGGGGGGCTCAGGGAGCGGGGGGGGGGGGGGGGGGGCTCAGGGGCGAGAGGGAAGACCCCAGCGGCCAACTTCTCCAGTTCGTGGCACCAGCGTTCGGCGTTGTCGGCAGCGCCGAGCAGCTCGCCGCCGCGCGCTGCCTGGCGGTGGGCCCTCCAGGCGTCACGCCTGAAACGTCCATGGACAAAATGCCAGTAGCCGCCATGCACAGACGACACAACGACGACGACGTGCACGACTGGCGGCGCCAACGCTCTTGAGTCCAGTGGCATTGGAAGACCGCGCCCTGAGGGCCTCTTGCTGGTGGGGCCCCGCGCTGTCTGACGCTGGCCCCGTAATGAAGTCTCTGAAAGGCTTCTCGAAGATGGGGCGGGCCCGCGCTTGCGACGACACCCTGGCTTCCAGCGCCCGAACGTCGGACAGGACAGCGACGGCCCCCCCGCGAGGATGCCCGTCTGCTGCGGGGCGAAGCCGGGAATGTCCAGCTCTCGCCCATCGCCCATCAGAAGGGATCGCGCGCTGAGAGCCCACCATCCGATCTCGCGAAGCGGGCGCGATATATACACGCGCAGGGGGCCGCGCCCATTGCCGCGAAAAAACTGCGTTTTGTTCCAGCTCTTCATGGGCTCCCGATTGGGCCTGCTGGAAGATGCCCACACTGGGCCTCCCTCGCCAAGTCGCCCGGGCCCAAAACTTGCATAGCCTGCCTGTGGCAGGCAGCCAGAGGGTCGATTGGTTGGCCTCACTGAGGCTGCGCCCTTGTCTTTGCGGAGCGAAAGTACAGCAGGGACACGGATGGCATGGGTCTGCCTTCTTGTGAGCCCCGTGACCGCCGCGCCGCAAAGCGCGCAAGCTTGTGGCCCAAAGCGTTGCGCGATTGGCCCGTCCGCCCACTCGTCGAAGCTGCTTAAAGCCAAACTTCCCTCGGCACCTTTCTGAAGACGCCCAAATATCGCCTTGGTCCTGCGAGCCCTGGAACAACGCATCCGACCCCGAACGGTCGGCGGCGAATTTCCCCATGGACCCGCGAGGGCCCCGCGCCCTGGATAAATCGGCCGCTGACTCAGGGCGCGAAGCAACGAAGTGCGATTCGTTCGACAGACAGGACAATCTCGAAAGGGGTCTATCCACTAGCAAGCTCCTCCCGAAAATCCTCGAGCTCCATGGCCACCACGGCAGCGCGCCCAAGACATTGCACATGGACCTCATCGACAACATTTCGCCCGTGGAAGCGCGGGCGGCGGTCGCGAATGCCGAGGAAGGCACGGCGGAGAAGCATGCTCGCAAAGGTCGCTGCCAGGCTGCGCCCAGCCAGGTTCGCGCCGCGGGCTCGGAACAGGCCGCCGACCGACGTCTGGGAACTTATGAATCGAGGGCCTGCGTACTGCGCGCACGCTGCGCGCGCCAGTCTGGTCGGCAGCCGCGCCGCGCGGTGACCGCCTCAAGCATCGGTGTTTTGAAACCGACCCTCTCGTGGGACATCGATGGACCTGCGCAGGGGGCGGCGGCCTCGACGTGGGAGAGACGCGCGACGACCGGGTAGATGTTGTGCTCCGAACGTGCTCGCCCCCTCGACGCCTCCGAATCCCTCGGGGTGGCCTTTTTCTCGATCTTTGGCGAGGCCCCGCCGACGTCAAGCCCGCGCCCGAAGGAGACTGCATATAAGAGCTATCGGTCGATAACCCGAACCGTCTAGCTCACTTGCGAAAGAGACAATCGTCGGCCAGCGACCAGGCAGGCCGGGCTGATGCTCCAGGGCAAGCAGAATGTCGAGCAGCCGCAACAGACACTGATCTCCTAGCAGCGGCCAGCATCGCGGGTTGACCCCATCAACTCCCGGACCCACATCGCGATGGAACAGCTGTAGGGTCTGCTTAAGCGGGTCGAGGCTGGGCGGGTGGGGCGGGGCTGGGCAGCTGCTGTGGCCTGGGCCGATATGACTTCGCTGTTGGCGCCGCGGAGTCGTCCTGCAGGGCAAGCCTTCGGGGCCCAGCGGTTGGGGGATTGGAGGATGGTGCTTGCTGTGCTTATGGATTTCCTTCGCTCCTCCTACCGCAGCTTGCCTTGCCCACCGCCGCCAGTTTTGCCGCCGAACTTTCGCTTGCTCTTCAAGGGCCCGCTCGGCTATGCTGTCGATGCTGGCCAGTGCCTGGCAGAAGCTCTCGCCGCCCTCCGACGCAGCCTGCAGGCTCAGGTTTTTGCATCCCACTTGCGCCAGGTCGGGCCCTGGGGTGCCCTCCTCGGCGCCGCCGCGGACTCTGAAGTGCCGATCGAACGTCTCCCAAAACAACGAGGCCTTGGGGTGCTTCTGAAGGCCGTCGATCTTGCGCATCAGGCTCTGGAAGGGCCGCCAGGCCCCCGGCTCGGGGCTGGCACCTTCATCCCTCATGAATATCTGCAACTGGATCTGCTTACGTTGGAAACCTTGGGCCCGACCGCGGCACGGTTCGTCTGGTCCATCGACCGGGCCAAACTGAAAACGCAGCTGGTCGTCCACGCGCGTCAGCCACTCCGCCCAAGAGGTCCCGAAGGGTGGCTCCCGTCGGTTCCTGTCCCGCGGCCCGCGTCCACAATTGCCCGACGGGGGCTTCCAAGCAGCCCGTCTGGGCCTTAGTCGGAAAAAGTGCCCACGCAACCCTGGCCGAAACTGGTGCGCGGAGGCTGAACCCATGGATGGTTATCTGCACTGGCGAGCGCGGTCCACATGGGGCCGCATGCAGGGCAGAGACATATGTGATGCTGTCGGCCAAGCCGCGCGAGACCACAAAGATGTCGAGACAGCGGCGCGCGCCAGCACCAGAGGAAAAAACGTCGCGCTCGCTGGCGCGGCAATGCTGGCACAGAACAGATGGCTCCACTCGAGGAGCCCGTGGCTGTCAGCATGCATGTTGAAATCTCCGCCCATGACGCAGGTCTTGCGAGCCCCTTGGAGGCGCGTGCCGAGGTCCTGCATGAGCTCAAGGTCGGGCCCAGAGTCTCGCCAAGACCAATCCTTACCCACGTGGCCGTATATGGTAAACCAGAGGGTCCCAGCGGGGACGATAGCGTCCAAATGCATGGCCGCTGCCCTGCCAGCCGCTGGACTACGGAACCCCGTCTGTTCGTGCGTGATCGGTTTGCTGCTGACGTGCTTGATGGCCCCCGCCATAGAGCCCCCACTCGTTGCAAAGTCGTGCTCCCCAGTGCGGTTGGCCTCCGGGAAGCTCGCCCTGAAACCACTCAGGAAAACCCATTAGGAGGCCTTCCAGGCAGCAACCGTTTCGAGCGCGTTTCCTGGACAACCCAGGCGTGGGCCCTGGCAGTCCCCTGGGCCGCTTGCAACTCACAGGCGTCCTGGAAGCTGCTCCAGTGATGAAGCGCCAAGGTGCGCGTGGCATTATAATGCTGCCTGGTTTGTCCTCATCAGCGTTCTCTCCTGGCGTGGCTGGCCTCAGAAGCAGCCTGGGGCGGCGCCGATGAGTCGGCGTGCCCGAATCGCATGGCGACCCCAAGCGTGTCGCCGAAATAAATCGCCTGGCTCTCGGTGGGACCGCGCTGGTAGGTGATGCCGTGGTGGCTCGCGTAGTCGAGGAAGGAGGCGCTCTTGGGCTCGAGGCGGTTGCTCTGCGCCGAAAACACTGCACTGTGTCTGCCTGGTCGTCCACATGCCAGTGCATCTCCCCATCGGCATCGTCAGGCCTCGCCTGACTCTGCAGTTCGGCGAACCGCTTGGCGTATCTGACTCTGGCTTGCGTCCTATCCCGAAAGGCTCGCTGGCAGCAGTCTCGTGCCATCGCCATCCTTGCAGCAAACATATCACCATGATGATTTGCGTCCGTTGCTGCTTCGACCATCTTGCTGAAATGAGGCTCAGCCAGTCGGCGGGACACGTAGAGTGCGTAGTGTTCATACCACTCTCGTCGCCCCTCCTCTTCGTCATGCTGCAGGGGGGTCAGGTACCATCCGAGTTGCTGCTCGACTGCGAAGTTGCTGAAGGAGTCGTCCTTCATGGTGTAGGTCGGCTGGGCTATGCATCAGAACGCCATGTAAGGTACCCCCCGATTGGGACCCTGTCCAAGTAAAAAAACTGCGACTTTGAGCTTGGGAGGTCAACCCCAGGGCTTGGCGAATCCTGGCAAGGTGTGCGACATGACCCCAGACACGACTCTGGGATTTGCGTCATATACGCCAAACAGGGCCGAGCAGCCTTGGCGTGTTGGACCTGGCCCAACGTAGGCCGCCGGTTGGCAGGCACCTTCATTATCCTCCCCCTCTTCTGTCTCCTCTTTCTTCATCCCCCTCCACCCGTTTCGAAATCACGTGCCGACCCCTCCCGAAGATCCAATGAGGGGTGCGATGATTGCCCAATCCAGACTACACCGATACGGCAAGTTCGTCTCGACACTACCCTAGCGGTGATTCGTGACACCGCGTGGGACCGCACAACCTTTAACGCGCAACGAATTTGGGGCGCCAGGTCGTTCCATATTGGCCGATTCTTGACCAGCGGCGGCGTTACACCTTGAACGCCCGCGACGGGGTCGCAGCCGCTGCGACACGAAACGATCCGAGTATATATATATATATATATATGTATAGATAGTATATATATATATATAGATAGTATATATATATATATATATATATATATATATATATATGTGCCAAGCTCATCCTGGATACAAGATCCTTGTGTACGCCCTCCTGGCAAGGGCAGGGGGACATACGCACCGGCCTGGCACAAAGAGCGCTGCAGGGTTTTTTTTTATATCCAGTGCCCTCCGATGCCCCTGCCGCGTTCCAGCGGACTGGACGAAGGGAAGTACTCGGGGAAGCCGAGGCGGTCGCCAAAGTCGGGGAGCTGCCGCTCGCTGGGCCTCTGGAGGTCGAGCCTGGGAGAGCAGTCCCACGGGGCTCACCACCAGTGGGGGGTCGCCACCTCCTCGAGGAAACGCCGGTTCCTCAACGGAGCGGACCCCTAAGAACACCCCGCAGCCTCAAGAACCCCGGCGCAAAACCGAGACGCCCAAAAACCACTTCAAACTTCGATCCAGGAGCCACGATTTCCGAAGAGGAAAAGCAAAGTGCACAAACAGAATGTCGAGGACCGCGCGGGTTCTTTGGATCGGGGCTGGATCTCTTGGCGTGGCTCCGAGAAAGGATGACCACGGCCTCTCCAGGAAAATCTGGTGACCTCTTCTGGTGGTGACCCCCCTTTGTTTGCATCCGGGAGCCCATAGGGAAACGTTCCCTGCCGCACGCCGTCAGGGGCGACCCCCGGCAGCGGCGGCCGGAAGCTTTCCTCGGGCCAAGTGTCTTGCGACTGGTCCGCCCAGCTCCTGGGGGAAACGACGCAACAATCTGGGGGAGGAGGAGCGAAAACTAGGAGTGTGGGGATTGGCAGCTGTACGAGATAATGCACGGCGGCGGTCATATGTAGACCGCGGGGTCTTTACTTTTGAAATAATGCGTCAACGCTCGGGCCAAACAGCGGCGACCCATCCAATGGGAATCGGGATTGTGCGGTCGATCGAACAGCCTTGGCGGAGAAGAGAAACCCAAAAAGGAAGGGAACAATATTTGTCAAACCACAACCACATTTCAGACTCGGCAGAGAAACGCCGCCGCTGTCCGACCTGACGGGCGCGCGTCGGGGAGCGGGCACATCCACTGTAATGGCGACCTCGTTCGTGCTCTTGAAATCGCCACTGGGGGGGCTCACGCATGAGCGATGATGGATTGACTCTGTCGCGGGCGGCAGGTCTGGAAGTGGACGTGAGCGCCGCGACGGATGATAGGGTCACACTTCGGGTGAGAGGAAGTCGGGGGGGGGGAAGGGGGAAACCATCGATTTGCGAGGGCTCTGGGTTCTGGGTGGTGGTGGTTGCGATGTCGGTGGGATTGGTGGTGGGGGTGGTGATGCTATATATGTATGTATGTATGTGTGTGTATGTATGTGTATGTATGTGTATATATATATATATATAAAATATGAACCAATGTTTGTATAACTATCTTTGTGTTCGCATATTTTTCTATTTGTGAATACAACTCCTTATGTATATACATGTATATACCCATATCTATACAGTTATACATGTAGAACTGTATATACACACATATATATATATACACATATGTGTACCACAACGGCGCTTATCCACATTGTAATACGATACTGTAGATGTACTATATATATGTATATATATATATACATATGGCGTGGTCGATTTGCATGTGTATATCTATATATATGTACATATATATACACCCAGCTTCAAGTCTACATCTATCGTTGTGTATGTATATATATAACGTATGTCCATCTAGCTATCGATTTGTCTACTCAAATATATATGGTTTATATCCATATACCATGTGGTGCCCATGATGATGGTGAGTGGTCGCTGTGGTGGAGGCGGTGATGGTGGTGGCCATGGCGGGATGGTGTCACGGTGATGGCCATTTGGCACGATGATGTTGTTCCATGCGTGCTGGTGCACCATAGCGCGATACCAATGTAACTCGGTTGCGTGCCCACTTCTATGGTGCGCGCCCGCGCCAACTTTGGTGGCGCATGCTCTGACGGCTGCGTACTCGAATAAAGACCCACCCAACTTGCAATGCCACGCGTGTTCGGAACACTCGCAGAGCCCAGTGCCACTCAGTCGCGCGGCGACAAGTACACATAGTGGGCATTGTTTTGCCGACATATGTAACGTCGCCTGCGCCGCCCGACAGCGACGCAGCGCCATGCATGGACAGCGCCCGCGGCGGGACTGCAGAAACCGGCGTATACGGAACGCAGCGAATTCGGAGTCGCAGTTCGACGGCCACGACAACGCGCTCGTCGATGTATTCCGAAAAGACAAAAAAACGGCCTCTGCACCGACTTCGCGGAGCGTCTGGAATCCCAGAGAAGTCGGCAAATCGGTGCTAATTTTCAAATTCCCAGAGATTCAGAATTTCATCTTGGTGAGTTCCTGAAGTTCGGACGCGAACCCCCGAATTTCCGAATTCCCAGATATTCAGATGTTCATCTTGATGAATTCCTAGGGATTCTGGAATTCGGCGCGAAGTCCCGACTTCTCGAATTCCTTTATTCTGAGAGATTCAGAATGTCATCTTGGCTTCGGGAATTTGCCGAATTCCAAAATTCGAAGGGATTCCGGAAGTCGCTGAATACCAGAATTCCGGAATTCCTGGGAATTCTGGAGTTTGCCGAATTCCCAGAGATTCTGAATGTCATCTTGGCGGATTCCTAAGGATTCGGTAGATTCGCGAAAAACAAAAGCCAGCTTCAACCAGCCGAGTCCCGCTACCCAAAGAAAACAACTGCAACTCCACAGCAACGCAAGCTCTCTTCAGGGCCCCAAGGGAAGAGGCGCGGCGACAAGTGATGGAAACCAAAAAAAACCTGCATCTCCCCGCGCGAACTCGCTAGATTCATCACAAACCACCAGAAAACGCACATTCGCCGCTAACGCGGCGACCCGCGTCGACCGACAAAACAAAACCGAGTGCAGCCACGGCGCAAATACATGTATCTAGTCAATTTGGTTTTTCGACTTCCAAGCGAGTTTGCACGGGGAAATGCGCGCGTTTCCAACCGTCGCGAGCGCGCGGTTGCCAGCGGCGTGCGATGGCCGACGTCGGGCGGCGGCATCGACGCGGCGGCCGGCCGGCTGGGCGGGCGCGGCGGGCGCGCCCGCGGCCCTGGCGGCGTCGCCGGGCGCCGTCATCGCGACGCAGAACGCCGCTGCCAGCCCTGCGCGCGAGGCCGGCGAGGCAGGCGCTCAGGCCCGGCAAGGATGATCGGAGCAGGCGCTATGGGCCAGCGGAATGCAGCGGCGTCGCCCGAGGGAAACCGAGCAGGGCGGAGAGGGCGGGGGGCGGCGACGGCGGGTCTGGCGGGGGAGGGGAAGAAGAACGCGACGATGCCTGGATGGGTGAACGCACGAGCGAAGGGCAGGAGCGGGCGCTCGCAAGAAAAGATGCGGCGCAGTCCCCCCCCCCCCCCCCACGCGTCAACCGACTCGCGGGCGCGTCCATTGCGCAGGGAAGCGCGCGGGCAGAGCAGCCCGCAACGGCGCGAAGTCGCCTGCCCGCCACGACGGGCTATGCAAGCGGGCGCCTGCACGCGCGCGCGAGGCCCGCCCTCGCTGGTCAAGACGGGGTCGCTCGAAACCAAAGATTGGCGCTCGCCCTGGCGGCAGCCGCGCGCGAACACCCTGCAGATCATCGGCGTCGAAGACGTCGACTGGGGTTCAGACTCTGGCGGGCGCATGCAGCCCGGTGACCCGCACCCTCCCCCGGCGGGAATGCCCAGCGCCCCCCAGGCGTCGGTTCGACTTGCAGGGGCAGGGTTCGCACGCAGGCGCGAGCCTGACGTCCTGGCGGCTCGCCGCGTCGACGATGCCAGCCCGCGCCGCAGGCGCGCGCGGCGGCCAGCTCATCGCGACGCGGAGCTCGCCCTGCGCCCGGGGGCGCCGCGCCGAAGCGAATGCCCGCGCCTCCACCCTAAGGGGCACAGGGTAGTTATCGCGCTGTCCTGTGCGATGGACCCATGTGCCGAGGCGCAGAGGCTATCTCTTGCAACGTGTCCAAAAGTGCGGGGAGCGGGAGGGGGCGGGACATGCCTACGCCTACGGCCTACAATAGATCCCCAATCACCATCTGCACAGTCGAAGACTCCGAGGTGCGAAGCATGTGATTGCGAACATCGCCCTCGCGATCGCAAGTGACATGGAGGTGGGCCGCGCCCGAACCACGCTCGACGCCCGCGGCGGCATCGACCTCGACGCAATGGGGCGGTTGACATGCAGCGAGCGGCGGCCATCGATGAACTTCGGGCCGGGCAGGCAAATCCATCGCGACAAACCGTCCGATCGCCTCGCGGCCACGCTCGCCCGATCGACGCATCGCCCGATCGACGCTCGCGGTCCGCGCGGGGCGCGGCGCCCACGACCGGAAACCATTCGTCGGCGTCCACGCGGGGCCGCGGTCCGCGATGAAGGGCGCCGCGCCCGACGTCAGGTGGTACTTGTAGAGGCCTCGCGCATCGTGCCCTCGCCGGCCGCGACGCGGTCGGCCTGCCACTTCGGCAGCAGCTTCCAGTCCACGTGCTGGCTCGGGCCCCTGCTCGTCCACCTGGAACTCGACGCACTCGAAGACGTCGCCGCTCAGCGCCGCCATGCGCCGCGGGCCGCAGGCTGTAGGCGAAGGGGGCATGCTCGACAATCCAATTTACCCGAGCGCGCAATTGATCACGAGCAGCTAGCGAAGGGTGCCTCAACGCCCCCGAGTGCCCCCCCGAGGACCCCGGCGAACTCCCGAAGGACACAATCGAGCTCTCCAATGGCCCGGGGTGGCTTGCGGCAGCCTCCAGCGGCCGCCGACCACGAATCCGAGGTCGAGGGCGTCGCGTCGGCCGCGCAGCAACGCGAGCTCTCTGGAGGACCCCAGGGGAGGAGGCGCGAGGACGAGGGATCCACACGCAAAAACACCAGCATTCCCCTCTGCGAACTCGCTGGACTCATCAAACACCCATCGGGGGGGGGGAACCCAACAAACGCACATTCACAGTTGACGCGGCGACCCGCGTCCACCGATAACCAAACCGAGCGCAGCCACTTAACGAACAAATGCATCAAACCATTGTTGTGGGACTTCCAAACGTTCGCACGAGAAAAACGCACGCGGGCGCGGCGGGCGCGCCCGCGGCCCTGGCGTCGTCGCCGAGCTTCGTCGTCGCGACGAAGATCGCCGCTGCCAGCCCCGCGCGCGAGGGCGGCTAGGCAGGCGATCGGGCCGGGCAAGGGTGATCGGAGCAGGCGCAATGGGCTAGGGTGGCCGAGGAAGGCAAAGAGGGCGACCGAGCAAGGCAAAGAGGGTGACCGAGCAAGGCAAATTGGGCGAGGGGCGGCAACGGAAAATCTAGCGGGCGAAGGGAAGGGCGCAACGATGCTTGAATGGGGGGGGGCGGAGGCAGACCGCGGGGCCGCGACGCCGCCCGGTGCCGCGGGCCGCAACAAGGGGCCAGCTCCATAGAGTTATCATGTATCCGCAAACCGGGCAAGAGCGGGCGCGCGCAGCGGAGCAATCGCCGCCGGCGCGGCGATTTGCTTCGACTCGGGCGGCCCCCCTCAGCGCGGCTGCGCGAGTTGGTCCCACCGGGGGAATCGACGCGCAATCCCCCCGCGCTATCCGGGGCGACCTCGCCGCTCGCCAGGGTGGGCGCCGCGAGAGTCATTCAGCGGAGCTAATGTTTCTCGGCCGCGCCACTCCCAGGCCGACGCAAGGAAGAAAAGCCCGCCCCGCTCGCGGCGAGGCCCCCGCG